TTATAATTAACTTTCGAATAATCACCAAAGATGTATATCAAAAAGCAAGTGGTAAATCATCAATATTTTACATGTGGTGTACGATAAGTATTAATGTGCATAAACAAGTTATTTTATAATGAAGAAAACATTTTAAATTAAGTTTCTTTCCATGAGAAAAAAAATAAAAACACATGAAAAAAATTCTTGCACTGCTCACATTGTACATGTTATACATATACATACATATTACCACGCATGAAAACTTGAATAAAACAATTTCCATTTTTCCATATTTAATTAATTGATCGGTAAAGAAGCTTATTAATAACATAATAATAGTTGAAACAATCATTTTCATTACGTAACGTTCTCAAAATCATAAAGTTCCTGATCACAACTTTTGAACAATTTGAAAACAATTTAAATTTTTCAATTTTTTTTTTTTTTAATATTGGAAAGGTAACATAAAGCTTGAATGTTTATCGAATGTTTATATTTTTATTTATATAAAAAAAAAAAAAATTTTTTTTGTGTTTCCGTTGTAAAAATAAAAAAGGTCCAAAAAGATTCATTAGTTGACCAACCATTTTTCATGTTTTTCGTTACTCTTTTTTTTTTTTTTGAGGATCTTTATTCTTTTTATTTCCTCATATTTACCCATCATTTACTCTCTTGTTTTTTTGATAATAATAATAATAATAATAATACATAATTGTTACTAATTTTCGCACACATTCTCTTTTTTCAAATGTCTTGCATACAATATATGATTATCCTTTAAATATTGTTATTGTTATTGTTTCGTTCTTTTTTGTACATTTCACATATTTCACACATTTAAAAACATTTCACTAACATATTTTTCAATATTTCACACATTTCAAACATTTTTAAATTTATTATATTTTGAGAGTCCATTAAAGACTGTCTTCGATTTGTTCTTGAAATAAACCTTAAAAATAAATTTCTTCACGCTAAACCATTAATATAAAATTAATTGGTAATGTGTGTAATCACACATTAATCACGTTAAATTATCAATGAGAAATAATGCATTTCTTGATTTTGTTGTAGATCCCAAATGTGATATTTAAAAATCTTGGCGATTTTTGGCGGGTAAATTAAATATCACCTTACCGATATTTTTTTGTTTTTTAAACAACTTTTTTATGAATACAGATTTATAAATACAAATTTATAAATGCAAATTTATAAGCAGGGTATTTATTTAAATTATTTTCATTTAATATTCGGCTACCGAAATATGGCATCACTTATAAACTTTAATTATTTTAGGTTTGTTTCACTCATGCTTTAAGAAATTCGTATTAAGTTAAAGATCTTCTATTTATTATTTAAATAAAAAATAAATTAGGTATAACAATATTTTATATATATCGTACCGTTTTACTCGTCGTATATAGTTACAATCATATTTATGAAAATCCTGTTTTTTATCGTAAACAGACTTACAATTAAATTTATTTTAAAAGAAGTTTGGCTTTTGTAAATAAATAAAACTTTAAAAATTTTTTTTTTCACCTAAAATGGGATCCATCATATACTATCTAGAGCGTACTTTTATAAACAAATTAATTCAATATGGAAATTATTTGTTTGCGTAAAAAGAAAGTCTTATAAAAAGAATTTCTTATGTCGTGTAAAAAATTTTTTCATTTGTTATACCAAGAAAGATATTTAAATGCCAGTATTTAAGTAAATGCTATTATATATGTTATATATGTATATTGATTATAGTGTTATTACGGTTAAAAAAATTCTAATAAATCCGGTTTTTCTTAACTTTACTATTTTTGTTACCTAATAATAAATATTAATAAATAACCTTATTTATCTTTTTCCTTTCCTCATCTCCCGCCCCCCTTACCTCCTTTATGTAATCAATTCACAATATTTTGTTTTTTTTTTCCTTGTAAAAATTTAAATAAAGAGATTTTAAAATAATTTCCCATTTAAATCAATGTTTCATTCGTTCGTTTTTAATATGTATCGCATAACTTTATTGCATTATTACATTGTTTGTAAGAAAATCACAAATATATTAAAGTCTTTGTTAGAAATTACTAAAGCATTCTAAACGAATTTTTATTCATTCCCGTAAATTTTATAAAGAATTTTTAATTTCCGGAATTTAATGATGACACTCGACATTATTTTATTACTTACCACACGGCACACACATGAAAATTTTTAAAAAAAACAAACAAGCGATAAAAGTATCACTGTTTAATTAGCAATAATTTAAAATTCTTATGCATATCATGTGATCGTTTTTTTTTAAAAAGGAAATTTTTTTTTCCTTTAAAAAGAAAGAATTGTAGTAAAGAAAAAAAAAGAAAAAAATAATAAATAAATAAATAAGTAAATAAAGTAAATAAAGTAAATAAACTGTGCTAAATTTTCTTCTTTTGATTTTGCAAAGATTATGTTGTTAAACTTGAAAAAAACAAAAATATAATGTTCTATTTTTCTTTTTAAGTAACTAAAATACCGAATATCTATGCTGAAACCTTTTTTAAGGGTTTTCCACATGCTTTTAGTTAACAACGTTTCTCTCGTCGTGGGCGTTCATCAACAAACCGTACATAACACAAACCGTATATATCACATTTGAAATTATGAAATCATGTTCATGTTTAAATATCTCAACCCCCCCCATTCTTTCATATTTCATTATTCAAGGGGTTCTACTTGAGGTCTTTTTTTTTTTTTTTTTTTTCAAAGGAAGATAATTTTGTACTTTTTTGATTTTGTAACTTGTAATTCCTTGTAATACCTTAAATTTAACAAAACAAGGAAAAAAATAAAAAAAATAAAAATAAAAATAAAGTTCTGGTCAATATTTTATGTGATAAACAATTCGCGTTATTTAAGATTATTAAGATTATTATTCTAATAATGTAGAAATCTTTTAAAGATTCTTTTCGATTAAATTTTCCGTCTAGATTTTAACTATAAGGAGCCAATTATAATATTTTTCATTGAACTATGACATATATAGAGTTTATCATTGCATCATATATTATTATACCTGATCATCATAAAACCCGTATCATCCGATCAATTTTAAGGAAAATAACAAAAGTTAAAAAAAATTAATGTAACATATTCATATTGTACAAAATTTTCATTTATTCTGATTATTGGTTCTAATAATTATTGGTTCCCTTTTACTTATATATAATTTTAATACTCTATCGGAAAATCGTCTATTAGTTATCATGTAATATCCAAGTCGATCACAAAAAGATGTTTTTTTATATCGGCAATTTTCTTCCCGATGTATTTACTGTTACCCTTCTCAACTTCTCCCCGTTCCCGTGATTATGAATCTAAACTTAACATGTAAAGATAACAATCTATGCATATTTTTAACCTCATTAATCTATAATTTATTGCTGCATATTTTAACATTAACCTCATGAAAATCGGATTTCATCCTAATAATTTGTTATGCACATTGCTATAGATTACTGCCAACCAACTTCTTATGCGTCGGAGTATATTTTTTTTAATTATTCCCTTTTTCGCTTCATTCATTTTGACATGTATGTCATTTTTTTCGTTTCACTGCTTAAAGAGAAATGGTTTACGAATTCCGTTCCGCTTTGGCCGAAAAATTAAAATATTAGTCTATGCATATTTGTACTTTGTCAAATAAAAAAATGGATTTGTAATGATGATTCATTTCATCGTTAAACATTGTGTATTACACAACGCATTACACTGTCTAGTAACCTTACATGTATAATAATAAACAGGTATACCTGAATTGAATATTCGAATATTTAAAATATTTAAAAACATTTTTTTTTTTAAAACTATTTAATTTTTTTTTTTATATTTATATTCCAATCAATCGGTTAGGATGGATCATGAAATCAAATAAATTTTTTTTTTTTTTTTTTTATTATTATTATTGAAATTTTTTTTTGGCGGTCGTCACTTTTGGATAATTCGGAGAAATGTGATAAATTTCTATAAAAAAAAATTTTTTTTTTTTTTTTTTTTTTCGCGCAATGCATAAATGATATGTTACATTTCTGTCCCTTTCATGTTTTTCTATTTTAAATCTTTTCTTGGTATAATGTGATTCGTTAAAAAAATTACTTACATTTGAATCATTATTGGTATTTACAAATGTATATTCGGGTATTACGTTTGATGTGAGGTAATCCTTATATAAATACATATACATATATATAACATATATAACATATGTATAATTTATATCATCAAGTTTTATTATTTTATTTATTATTTTTATTATTATATTAATATTTTTATTTTGATTAAATTATTATTATTATTATTATTATTATTTATCATTATATTTATAAAAAAGAAAATATAAATACGTTTAATATATATATATATATATAATATATATATATAGATTTTTTTTTTTTTTTTTTTGGCGCGACGAAAACAAATAATTAACAACAAGCATAATTATTTAGAATATATCATAGAATATCATGTATGAGATTTCGTGATTTTGTTGATATTCTTTTTTTGTTACCTTACTATCCAAAAAATCATTTTTTTAATAAAAAAACTTTATTTTCATTTGATATCAGATATTATTATGCGTATTTCTTTTTTTTTTTTTTCTGGCTTGAAAAAAAAAAAAAGAGATCAAAAGCGGAAAGATGAAAAGATTATCTTTTTTTTTTTGCTGTGTGATCATTAATTTGTCCCCCCCCCCTCCCCAATAAATAATATTTTATAGTAAGTACATACTAGGACATTTTTTTTTTTAGTTCAACCATTGGATCGACCGTTAAATCAAAGAATGTCTTTGTATGATATGTTACTAAAAACTGCAATATACTTGGTGTAAGAGAGATCATGCTTTTACATATAATTTTGATTATCACACGTTTTCAAATTTAAAATCATGGAATTTGCTCGTTAATAAAAAAAAAAAAACTCGGTATAATTAACTATTCAATTTATTAATATATTAAAATAATATTTAATTATGTACTAAGGAGCTCTAGTGGTGTAGTGGTTATCACGCGTGCTTCACACGCACGAGGCCCTCGGTTCGATCCCGAGCTGGAGCAAAATCACTTTAAATTTTAAAAAATTTAGTATACACGTGTATTTATTTGTATACCTTACCTTCAAATTTTTTTTCTGTCATGTGACTTTTCATCAAAATTCTGATAGTTAATATTGAAGTAAAGGTTGAATTAACTGTCTTCACTTTGTAAAAACTTTCACCATTTTTTAGGGGGGTGGTCTAATTGTCAGGCTTAGCTGCTATTTTTGCATTTTTCCAAATCAACTTTTATTAATTTTCATCATTTTTCCTTCAAATTAATTATTGATTGCTATACCCGAATTCTTAAACGAGTAGTAATACAAGATCGAAAAAAAAAAAAAATTTTTTTACAAACCACAAAATTTACAAGTGTCCGTTCCTCCAAAGAAAAATATAAGAGAAAAACAGAATAAAGAAAAGATGAAGAAAGAAAGAAAAAACCAATGTCCGTCTATTATTGTATTTTTTTTTATATTTGAATATACAAAGAATTTTTTTTTTTGTGTCTTAACTAAATAAGTTCTCTGTTTTACTATTGAGAAAGGAATACTATTGTCTAAATAAATTGTAAATTATATATTTTTACAAGGTTCTATATGTTGTTAACCACTCAACTTTTTGTGATGTTATATATGTTATGTCTATATATGTTTGTATCTGTTGGAAATTGCTACTATAATTAGTTAAGTTCTATATTATCTGACATCTTAACGATATAACGATACCATTAGACAAATGTTTATAATTTATCTCTCTATTAAGGTCTATGTCCACCTTCTCTATTTCTCTGATTTGGATCTCGTCCAAAAATGTCAGCAAATCCTTCACGTCCATCATGTCTCATCACTCCAAATATATAATCTCTTGCGCTGACAGGTGTGTCAAGTGGTTCAAAATCTTCATTCATATCATCAATATCATGATGACGGTTATTTCGAATATCATCTTGAAGATACATTTGTCGACGATGATTTTGAAATTGTGGGTGATGATGAAAGTGTATATGATGATGAGCATGAAAATCGTTATCGTCAATATTACTGTCAAGCATTTCATAATCCTCATCAGGAGGAGTTGGCGTTGATGAAGGATGTGGAAATGGTGGAGGAAGAGCTATAAATCGTAAAGGACCTCCATCATGAACATTCAAAGGTGGGCTTGGCTGTGGGAATGCACGTGAAGGAATATTCCCTATCTGAAAATGATTATCTGACATTGGAAAAAGAGGGTTATCGGATTCTAACCTGATAATGTGAACGGGTTGGTTAATTGGATGTTGTATATGCACTTGATAAGGAGGTTGATTTGTTTGTCCGCACTATTAACCAAAGAAATTTGAGTCTGTAAATTCATTAAGTACAAAAAAAGAAATTGAAAACAAAATTTTTTGATTAGTAAAAGAATAATAAATAATAATTTTTACCTCGATGGATTCGAAAATGTGCGGTGATGTCCCTGGTACGGGTTTTAAAGCAATTAGAATACGACCTCTAAATGAATCAATGTTTTCGATTTCTGATTGATAAACAAATGCCAATCTATTACAATTAATTATTATATTAGAATAGGAATTGAAATTGTATTAAATTAAAGAATTGTATATTAATTAATATTAACTTACCTTGAACCTTCTTCAGAATCATATATACTTTTAATACTAACATCAACTTCTTGATCAGCTCTTTCTAATTCTAGTCGTTCAGATTCCAAATTTGCATTGGCGGTCTTAAGTTCTTCAATCCTTCGCTTATAATCTTGGCGCATAGATGGTTGTTGCTGTTGTGTACCCCTGTAAGAATTATCATTGGTGATGATTGTGAAAATTATTTACGCGATTATATCACCAATGGGCAAGGAGAATACGTATTTCTGTTGTACAAAGCAAAACCATAAAATTACAAGAGCTTTGCTCAACTAATAACAAGCATAACTCACATTACTTACTTCCAACGAACATGATTCTTTGAATTTTTTTCAATTAACCCAATTCCTTCTAATACGTTTGTAATGTCATAAATTCTTCGCTTTTGAACTTTTAAAGCTAATGCTGCTGTATTTAGGTCCAAGTCTCCATCTTTTGCTTCCGTAAGAAGACTTACAAACTTTTTGGTAAGAAGCCCGAGAGAACTATCATAACGGCATGCACCAGTGATAATGCTGGGAAGGTCTTGATAAAAAAAAATAAAGTTGATAGACTTTAGAGAAGGCGTGCTGTTCCAACATCTGACATATTCAAGTGTTAAAAGTTTGACGAGTTTTGTAAAGAGCTCCGGTTGAATGGTTACCGTTCGTCTCCTTTTTAGTAATATTTTTCCTTCGTTGACGAGGTTGTGTAAATTGGTTCGACCTTGTTGAAGATGAGGGAGGGTTAAGTATTTCTCTTCTTTGTGAAGTTATGCTTCGACGAGAGTTGGCAGAAGTTGAATTCAACGACATCTTTTTAGAGTGTTCCGTTTCTGAAAGTTTGTCCGAATAAAAAAACTATTAATCTAATGATATGCAGTGCAATAAGATTAATGAGACGTCACTAAAATTTGAATGAAAGAACCCTAAAAAAGTTCGTTATGCGATTATCAACCAATAATATATTTACTTAAATAATATGCATTGGATAATTTTAGTCTATCCGCGTCAATGGGGCGTGTGGAGAATGGTTCTAACTCGTGTGAAACCATTATAGGTGCTTCTAAAAGAAGCATTAATTGCCGTAAATTTTGCCTAAAGAGTGAAGAATGACTAAAGAATATTTATATTATTCAATATAACGAGAAAAATTTTTTCATGTTTTTGTTAATTAATTAATATTACTATCATAATTATTATTTATTTTATTTTTATTTTTATTTTTTTCATTTGTCTTGGAAAAACGCGCAAAAAAGACTGTATTTCCTTCATTGTGGCATTGTTTTCTGAATGACAACTTATACAACATAATGTCGTACCATTGTTCGAATATGTTGTACAAAACCCCGAATAACAATGAATACAATGAACGGCAATATTTTAATTATAAAAAATTTTTTCTTGTTTCACAGAATGCATTTTCGGCAACTCCCGATAGTAATACTAGATAAGAAAGGTGTTATCGATTTCCTAATTATTTTTTATCGCATAATTCGGCGTTTATTCTCGCAAAATCGAATAAAGACCCTGCATTTAAATTGTTTTGAACTGTAAAATAGCTAAAGTCAATACTTCCAAAAAAAAAAAAAAAGTCTACAGTAAAAATAATTCATATGAAAGTTTTTTAAAAAAATTAAATTTGTTAAATCTATCAGATTTCTAATAATAAAATTTTAAAATTTAAATAATTCTTTCACGCAAATAAACATTTTGTTAATTATCATAACTTGTTCATTTCTCATTTCCGCTGTTCACCAATAATGTCAGACCATTTCTTGTCTTTTAATTCCCTAAGAATGTCATCTTTAAGCTCTCTTGGTTTACCAACACCATCATATCCAAAACTAGTATATAATTGCACTAAAGTAGCACCAGCTTTTGCATATTCAATTGCATCTTTAGCATTTGAAATTCCTCCACATCCAACCAATAAGAGTTTTCCATTTGTATGTTGATATATTTTACGTAATGCTTTTAATGCTAACGGTTTAACTGGCGGCCCTGATAAGCCTCCTGTTTCAGATATTAAAGAGGAATCTAAAAAAAAAAGAAGGTAAGTCAATTGGACTATCTTAAATTAGATACTTTTACAAAAAGGAATAATTGCATCCTTCAACAAACCGCTTTGTAATGTATTTGGTCTTGATATAGTAGTATTAGATACGATAATCCCATCCACGCCACTGCTTAAAGCTGTATCTGCGATATCTTCCAATTCATTATCGGTAAGATCAGGTGCAATTTTAACCAATAATGCTGGACGTGGCTCATGTAATAAATTACGTGCCCCTATAACCTAAAATTTCATTAAAGGAAAATTTGTTCAATAAAAAACAAAAATAAAATAATTAATGTATCTTATTATACATGCCTCTTTTAACAATTTCTCAAAAATTTCTTTTCTTTGTAATCCTCTTAATCCAGGAGTATTAGGACTACTAATATTCACCACCAACACATCAGCATAGCTTCCAAAAGTTTTTATTCCTTTAATGAAGTCTTGAACGTCTTTAGCGCTACTCCATTTATTTTTTCCTAAGTTAATTCCCAATAATTTATCTTCTTTTAAACTTCTATTTATTCCTAATGCATCAGACAATGATGCCTTATCTGGTGATGAGGCAAGTAATGCTGCTGTTATATTAGGATGGAGTTTTGCTGAATGATAAAGATATCTTCTTACACGATCACGTAGTCGTAATTCTACTTGTTTGTGACCATCAGAATTAAAGCCGTAACGATTTATTATAGCTTTATCTTCAGGGAGACGGAACATCCGTGGTTTTGGATTTCCAGGCTTTTTTTAAATTACATAGATCGTTATTAAGAATGCTCGCATACATACAGTAAAGGAAATATTTATTAAATTAAAAATTACTTGGGGTTCAGGAGTCACGCTTCCTACTTCAACGTATCCAAAACCGACATCAAATAAGCCATCAATGGCTTCCCCATGTTTATCAAATCCTGCTGCTAGACATATCGGATTAGATATTTTTTTGCCCCATACCTATTCGACACAAATTTAAAATTTCATCAAATTAAAAGATTTTAAATGCTAATCAAAATACTAGCACGCGCAACCAATCTAGCTTACCTCAACAGAAAGTCGTTCATCATCAGGCAATCTATCTTTAGCATTTAATCCCCATTTGAAAACCCATATAGCAAATTTATGACTTGACTCAGGAGTGGTTATATTTCTCAACAACGGCATAAAAAGATACTTGTGAATTGCTGCTCTAGAATCAAAATAATACTCTATAAAGAAAATTGTACCAATTATACTAGTTGTTCCGATAACAAAATTTCTGAATTTATGATTATAAATAGGGGCTTTATTTGTCATTGTTGACGTAGAGTTCGTAACATTTCGCTGAAAAATGAAAGGTATTT